GATTCCAGTGATATTTTAGATAGCCAAGTTAGATTGACCAATCTAAGATGCACCTTATAAACTACGTATTTTAGCTTTAATGGGATAAAAATAAATACTAACTTGAACTGTAAAATGGAAGTTGGCAACATAAAATAGATATGATACTAATATTCAGCTCATAAACAGATTGTGTGTCTGTGAATTCTGTATCTATAACCATTTTGGGTTAAGTCTGAGTGTGTAATTGCAACTATGCTGCGACAGTTACTGTGATGGAGATCCCTTTTTGTTTTCTTAGAATTTATCCAAACTTTTTTTTTTGCCTTTACTAACATTTCACTACCAAAAAAAATCACTAAGGAATTTCTGTCGTATTCCCCCCCACACACACACCCCTTGAAATTAACTTTGTTCAGGATCATAGTGCTCTGCTGTAGTTAAAAAAATAGATGCTTTTAATACCAGAGAACTTGGCCACTGAACAACTCTTGACCAGTTTAAAAGCCTTTAAGTAATTCACAATATAAAGGTATTTTAGTCCCCTTTTAGACCTAAGAAATGTTAAGTTTTCATTACAGGTTTCATCGTGTATATTTGCTTGATTTTTGCAGCTTAGCATTCTCTAAAAATGCATTTTTTTTTTCCCAGTGTAGTATTTACCTTTTTAGATTATTTTTTTTTTACATCTTCCTCTTCTATAATTTTTCCCTTCCAGTAGCTATTTCTGCGAGGCATCCCATTTTAACTAGACGTGCACACTGAAATAAGGGGAGGGCTGTGTTTTAAAATCCAGTGGCTTGTTTTAACTCAGTGCTCTAGTGATACCCGGAGAAAAGTACTGCCAGAGGAGAGTATTTACAGCAGGAGAACTAGAAATGCCAGTCACTGCTGAAGGTACAGAAATACGGGATGGTAAAAATGTCTCTGATGTTTTAGCTTTAGTGAGCCTTGCCGGTAACTACCCAGCGTCTCCCCCGCTCCTAGGCAGGGGTGGACGTGCTGCTGAGGGGAAAGGCAGCAGCTTCTCCTCTTCTCTGGTCGTTATGAAACTGTTGCTGCCACTTTCCTGACTGTTCGGCGAGCTGGTGGCTGCCGCAGCCAAGAGCTGGCTCCAGCAGGGAGGACTGAGGCTGGTGGGGCCGCCGCTCACCTGCAGCTGGTAGGAGCGGGGCCGGGGCGAGGCCGAGACCGAGGCCGAGGCCGGGGCGGTGGCACCTGTGGCGGGCAGGGCCTGGCCGGTCCGGGCGGTGAAGGGGTAAGCGGCTTGTCGTGGGCTAGCAGGGAAGAACGAGAGACAGTGCTCCAGTGTGGAGCTGCATTGTCTGTTCTCAGCGTGAGAAATAAATTACAGTCTGTCAGAGCATGACTTAACAGTGCCAGGGGAAACTGGCTGCATGGTAAAGTTTAGTTGCGTTTTCACTAAAATGAAACGGTGGTGTTTTAGCAGCGGAGGAAAGATTGATTTTCATCTGGCCGTAAAACCAGACGTGAGTATTGCTTAGTTTCCAGCTTGCACCTCCTTCACAAATACGTATTTGCAGTTCAGTTATTCTCCAGGAACTTTGCAGTGTATTTGTGATAAATAAGTAAAGCCAGTAAATAAGATCCTGTCTTGGGCTTTGATTTGCTGCTGGTACTGATGCAAATTTTAATCAGTAAGCGTGGTACAGAAGCAAAATATTAATACCATCAGTTTGAAATGTACAGCTCTGTACAGTGAAAAAAGGGAAGAAAAACAGTTGCAAGATAAATAAAACAGTATCAGTGCACCCTTAAAAAGCCTGCTAATGCAGTGCACTGTTTAATCCTACTTTCTTAATAAAAAAAATAATTGTAAAACAAAACACTTATGCTACTGCAGTTTCATTTGTTGATGCCAGTTCAATGCCAAGTTTGCTATAAAGCATTACAGTTAAAATACAGTGTACTGAAGGAATTGGTTTTGAAAAATGCTTCATTATGTTTTCAGAGGAAGAATGTGGAAATATATCCTTGGTCAGCTTGCCTTTACAGTTCAAATCACTTCAAAATTGTCTTTATTTGATATTTAAATCTTCCCCCCCCCCCCCCCCCCCAATTTAATATGACACTGATCCATCAGAATTAATGTTATTCAACAGAATAGGACTTTTCCGAGTAAGCTGTGCAATGCGCAGTTACTATCCTTCCTATGAAATATACACCAGCTATAATCCCACAGAGCACCTTTGGTCCCTTTAGGGAACGACAGATGAGACTGCTTTGCTTTTTATATATATATATTATATATATATATATATATATATATATGTTTAATTATTACTATTTTTAATCCCTGGAGAGTGGCTTTAAAAAGAAATGCTCTCTATGTTAAGTAAAGCTATTCTTGGTGATCTTTCTTATAGCATATACTGGAATTATTTTAATGATACAATTAAAAAAAAAAATCCCAAAATATGATTTAAAACTTTTCTGGATACCTTAAACCCAAAAAAAAGAAATATAAATTATTGGATTATTTTTTAATTTTTTAAATCTGTACCAAATCTTTTTTCATTAAACATTTCTGGCTGATGTTAGATTAGAAACCATCCCTTATTGAAAACTTGTATTATTTAGACAGAAAAAAATTGCTATCTGTTTAGAGCTGACCTCAGTGTTGATGTCAGTACCGCACAAAACTGAGAGGAAAGAACAAGAGATACCACTTTGAGTTAAAATACAAGCAAATAAATTAGTGTATAGTAGGAGTATCTGTAATGAGTTTCCAATAGACAGAACTTGTGATAAGGGGAAAGAGAGAGGTTGTAAAATTATGTAATAGTGTAAACTGTGGTGTGAAAATATTGGCTTACTACTATGTACATGATTTGACTTATTCAGGCATGATGAATCTTAAAATAATTCCTCCACTTCCCTTTTTGGAATTCTATTTCTATTACATGAAGCTTACAAGTTGGGCTTCATGTAATTGTATTCCTCTTTCCTGAATCCGTATTTTTTAGTACTGTGGTAACCTAAAGTTAGATGACTTTAAATCTTATTTTACGAGTATGGTGACAGATATAATGCATTTATATATCTCTCCAAAGAAAGATAATTTTCATTGCATGAATCTAAGCCATTATTCTGTAAAGGCAATGCACTTTTAACCCTCCAAATGCACCAGAATTAGCCCACTTATGAAACAGGCAAAAGCAGAGTTGAGAGTCAGCTGCTTCCACATCTACACAAAAAGTGAGAAAGGAAAGGATAAGTATGGAGAGTAAAGAACAAGAAGGTCTGTATTTTTATATAGAAAGTACAAAAATAAATAAGGAGCTAAAAATAGTGGCTGAAAAAAAGGAGGGAAAGTCATTCAGAAAACAGATTAAATGCAAGTAAAACACTATCAACTAAACTATTCATATACTTGAATCTGATCCTTTCCTAAAAAAAACAGGTCTTTTATATTATATGGGCATTAAAGTTGTTGAATGCGTTACTGCATATAATCTTTTTTTTTTTTTTTTTTTTAATCTCCAGTGTAGGGTAAACATTCTCATCTGTGCATGTTCTGTTAAAATAAATACTATCGGGAATGTCATGCCATTATTTTTAAACAAAAATGGTGAGAGTTTTAACTGGACATTATGGCTGTCTGCTGCAAAGTATGTTATCCAGAAACTGCAAAATTGCTTTTACTTTTTAACCACCCACAATTTATGCACACACATCCTCTGCATCCAACAGTCTGTATGCAAGAGATACCAGAGTTATTAGAAGAGGTCAGAATTACTTGCTGTCATTTTACCGAAATAAAAATTTGTGGGAAAGATACAGTTTAAATATCTTGTCAGCTATGTCCTGGTAATCTCTAATGTGCTTTTACTACAACTCCCTAAAAATAAATATTAAAAACATTTTGTGGTTTCACACCATTAAAAAAAAAAAAAAAAGTTGGTAGGGGTAAACCATAAAACATATATTTGGCTTACACAAGAAATGTTTATTCTCCTCAGAATGCCAGTGGTTGAGCATTTTCTTGCGATTTGAGGCTGGGTAAAATGTGTAACAGAGGTTCCTTAAATATGCCACTGCAGCAGTCATTCACGATGTGGCACAGCCAGCCAGTTCTGAGAAACCCACATGTGCCGCCCTGTACTTTCTAGACTTGGCTAATATTGTGCATTTTAATAGAGCAAATGTGATTAAAGTCAGGCCTGAAAACGGAGATGGGTTTTCATATACTCGGTAGAAAGTATGTTCCATCCAGTACAGTATATACTATTCTTGATAGTGCTTGCTTTTGCCAGTCTTACCAGTTAGGCAGAGTACATACAGCTCCTGGAACAGCTGTACTACAAGCTATAATGTAAATAGTATGAAGTCTTTGTCACAATCATAACCACAGCAGATTGTTTAAATACTGCCTTCAAAAAATCGTGTGAGTTTGTGAGAGAAGGAAATACATCTTGGAAAAAAATCTGTGACTCTGAAGACCCCTGCTCCATTTTGCAGGATAGTGTATTTTTAAGCTGAAGGTTGGAGAGCAGCCTCTTTGGATGGGATCTGAGAGTTGCAAGGGATAGAAACTCACAAATACCAGTTTTCTTTTTCCATTGCAATTTTTTTCCTATCAGCCCATGATCAATATTTAGAGGAATAAGATATCAATTTGTATCCTTTTTTCTTTTATTTTTTTGTCCTGAAGAGTATTTTACAAAGTCTTAGAAACACACAGTGTTGACTTTTCCAGTTAGTTGAAACTGCCTAGCTGCTTTAAAAATACATCAGGAAAGCAGTGATAGCATAAGCAAAATAAATATTAAATGAGAGAGACAACTATCACTTTCCTTAAGTATCCACGTAATCCTTTTTTTCTTATGGTAACATATTTTCCACAAAGAAGACTCTTCAAGGTTGGATCCTGTACAGTCTCCTTCCCCCCCCCCCCCCCCCCTTCTCTTTCCCTTCCCTCCCCATGTAGGGCAAATCAAATGCTTGACAACGTTTTTTGTTAGGAAAGCACATTAAAAAAAAATTTTTGAATATACCAATAACAGAAAAAGTATATATATTTTTATTGCAAGAAGGAGATTTCATTGGTTGAATGAAATGGCGAGATGTGACGCAAAAGGACACTTGGACGGGTAGAAATGCTGATGTATGCCAAAGCAGGCGTACCAAGAAATGCTGTTGCTATGAGAGAAACAGAGGGAGAGAGAGGGAGAGGGAGAGAGAGATCGTGAGAGAGCAAGTTGTGGAGGCCTTATTTTTTTCCTCTTTAGCTTCTAGCAGTGAGACTGCAACATCTTCCCTTTCTAGCAGGGAGGGTTTAGAGCCTTTCAGTGGGTATTTTCATTAGACCAAGCATGTAGAAGAGGGGAGGAAGGCGAGAGAGATGCAGGTCACCTTAGAGTACAAAAGCAATTGGAAAGTAGGAGGCTGCATATACTAAGCCAATGATCTGTGCTATGATAGATATACAAATTAGTACGACAGATGAAGCGGCTTAGCTCATTATCCACCTGATGGTATTACGACTTACAGTTCAAAATTACAAAATTAAAATGCACATGCACACAGACACAGACAGACATATATTTATAATGACCCCACCTTTTCAGCTTATGAATTATCCAGCTGGGATACCGACGTCTCTTGTGTAACATTCTTAAAGAGCTGCAATAAATTCACCTTGTGAGTCCATTAGCCAGAGAATGGAGGGGGAAATAATTTGCAGGGATTTTTTTTTTTTTTGTCTCTCTTCTTCGGCAAGGGGGAAAAAAGTTTGTGCTATGAACTTAGCCTAGCAGCTTCTGGAACGTGAGCCAAAAGGGGCAGGAAGTTGTTTTACAATAGCGTTACAGTGATCTGCCACAAATGGAAAAAGCCAAATGTTAGAGTCGGCAAAGAGAAAAAACATCCTTCTCCCCCTCATTTCCCTCCTTTTGCCCCTGAAGAGAGAAAAAGAGAAAGGAGCATCGAGCTAGAAGTTCTTTTTCTTTTTTAATTACTTCTTGTAAGTAATGGAAAGATTATCTTACTTGCATATTCCATGGCAAGCATGAGAGAAAGAAGTATCAAAGGGACGTTTGAAAAAATGCACTTGGTAACTAGCAACGGGACTTTTGGCACAATTCCTTGAGTTTGCTTGAGGTTATGGAGGGGGATGGGAAGAAGAAAAGCAAGTCTACACAGTACGTTTTCTTTAAAAGAGGGGAGGGGGAACAGAGGAGAAACTATATAAAAACTTTTTTTTTTTTAAAAAAAAAGGAAATGTGTGTTGATCCTCTGAAGCTGAATCCTCAGGCATTTGTGGCCCGTCTTTGCAGCCCGATATGTTTTTTTGTGAGTGTGTGTAAGCGCTCTCAATCAAACAGCAATCATGGCAGCTGTTTTTCTTCCAGCACAGCAGTTGAGCTGTCTCGCCCAAATGCTTATCAGCTTTTGACTCGGTGCCAAGATAGTTATAAGGGCCAAGCAGCCTGAGCTTGGCTGTGCAGCTGGTTTAGAAGTAAGGGCATGAGAAAACAAAATCACCGAGGTTTTTTGTCACATGCAGTATTTACTTTTTCAAAGATCCATTTGCTGCTCTGTGGGTTTGGGGTTGTGTGGTTGGTTTGGGGTTTTGTGTGTGTGTGCACTGCAGTTCCGTGGTCCTTGTGGACTGCTTCACTACAGAGAGGGGTCTAGGTGCGTATACATATAAAGGGGAGCTCTTCTGTCTGTTTTAATCCCGGAAGATATTTCCGTTGGACGTGTCCGTCCCGTGTCCGTCCCCCCCCCCAGTTAAAAGTTCCATTAGCCGCACTGCGCTGTCAACCGTGCTGCCATTGCGTGGGTGCATTGACATTCCAGCGCAGCCCCTTTCCTCCCAGTTGCTCTTTTCCTCCCTGGGTCTCATCCTAAACTCCGGGGGAGGGAAGGGAGGTGGTGCCCCTGCATGGGCGCTCGGTTCCCTCCGCTGTGCTTGCCTCCCTCTGTGCCTGCTGCGTATGATGGAAACGAGCCTGCTCACGCAGGGCCGTGCCTCTCTTTCATCATCAGCTCTAGCCCTCTGCGTTTAGCTAGCTCACGTCCTCCTCCTCCTCTTCCTTAGCCAGATTGCTCCAGTCGCTCACAAGGGGGAGGCTGGGCTCTGGAAAGGGGAAAAAAAAAAAAGAAGGTTGCTGCTGCTGCTCGCATTCCTGCTGCAAGGGCCTCCCCTTCAGACGGCCTTTGCCAGAGCACAACTTTTGAAAACACTGCGAATAGGAGCGCCTTTTTTTTTTTTTTTTTATTTCCCCTCTTCTTTATTTAACCCTCCTCTTCCACCGTTTTAGAATGGAGCTCGTTTTCCGTCTCTCCTGCGCTGTGCTCGGCTCCACTGTATATCGCAATGCTGAGGTTAAAGCGCCAAGTATTTTCCCCTCCGCTGATCCTTTTTTCTGTTTCCCCTCTCTCTCTCTTCCCTCCGTTAAAGGAATTGATTTCTTTGACCGAGCAATGAATCGGGCTTTGCTAGTTTGTATGCTGCGAGAATGAAGGCTTTTATTTGTGATTTTCCTCCCCCGAGTATCAGTGCACAGTGCTGCTTATGGTACAAGCCTCTCACTGTGGCTGGCTTTCTCTTTAATACAAATATTTTTAATGGCTTTAGGTATCTGCGCCATGTGAAATAGTGTGGATGATATCCCTCCAAACCCCTTGTAATCTGACCATGTCTGAAATGGAAATGGGGGGGGGGGGGGGATAGGGTTGTTTCGTCCTTGCAAACCTCTCCCCCCTCTTTCTCTGCTGAGGAGGGAAAAGGGGATGTGCAGTAAAATGCCGTCTCTGGGACAGGTGCCAGCTCCTAGACAAAAGAAGTAAAATAGGCGGTAAAGGGGGAGTCGGGGGGGGGGGGGGGGGGGGGGGGGAATTAATAGCCAACGAAAATAGGAATTGAAAGTCTCCGAGAGGCTGCGCTGGCGAAAGTGATGGTGCCTGACTGGCCTTTTTGCTGAATATTTGCTTAGCGATGGGTGGAAAGGAGAAAGTTGCGGCATACTTTTTATTCTCGTCTTCTCTGCAGGCGTTCGGCAGCGTGAAGGAAGGGTGGAGGGTGCCTTCTTTCTTTCTTTCTTTTTTTTTTTTTCCTCCTCTCTTCTTCTTTTCCCTCCTTTCTACTGAATTATTCATAGTGTCAGTGGTGAAGCCAGGACTATTAGCATGCATCAGACATGCTGTTTGTCTGTTTGCTAACATTCTTCATTCAAGACTTGTTAACTACCAGACAAGCTTAACACGCTTCTTTTTTCCCCCTCCCCTCCTCTCCTCTCTTCCTCCGTCTCTCTCTCTTCGCCTTCCCTCCCTCCTTCCCTCCCTCCCCTCGCCCCTTCCCTTCCTTTCCTTTCCCTTCCCTTCCCTCGCAGCCGCCCATTGTTGCCGCCGGGCGCTGGCAGCCGGGGGCAGTTGCGGCCGGAGCGGGCGGAGGAGCGGCCGCCGGTTGCTAGGTAAGGACCGCCTTCCCCTCCTCTCCTAGGCCTGCGTGCACTTGCAAGGGCGAGAAATGCCACAGAGCTCGCTCAGTGCCTTCTGCCTGCTTTTCCAGGAGACTGCAGAGCTGCAAGGTGAACACCAGCACATCGGCGGCTCCCCGGGCTGGCTCCCCACCCTGCACAGGGTAAGCTGCTTTCCCACCGCTTCCCCGTTCCCCCCTTGACGGGTACCCACCAGCATTTCGTGGTTGTGTACCGCTACGATGGCATGAGCTGCCAGTACTTATCAAGTAGGGAAATTAAGTTTCAGAAACTACGTGGGTATCGGCAAATTGGCTCGTGAATGCCTATTAATTTCTGATTAACCAGTAGTACGTTACCAGCCCGGCAAGGTTTAGGCGCATGCAGGGTGATCGCTTGCTGGCTATTAGGGATGTGATATACTAATATTTGCTATTGTTGCTGTTTTTAAGGTTCTCTTCTCCCTCTCTATCAAGTCTGCCCCTCCCTTCGCTAGTCTGTTTAAAAGCAGCAAGCTTCATTTTCTTAGCAGACAAAGGTCGATCACAGCTTTTATTTCTGAATGCAAATGTTCTAGGACTTGTGCCAGTCTTGCCTTCATTGATTACAATATAGCTTCTTTCTTCAGTGGCATTTTCCCCTTCCTTCCCCCCCCCCCTTTTTCCCCCCTGTATTTTATTTTAAATAGAAGGAAGCTCAGGAAAAGAAAGTTGGGTGGTGCAAGTTTTTGTATTTATTTAATATTTCACTATGTTTGAAACATCCATGTGCAGAGCAGCTCTAATGCAGCTGGTATCAAGTACATAGGGATTTATGCAATTTGTGTGTGTATACGCAAGGGTATGTGTTCTCATTGCTCAACTAATATTTTTTAAGGTAACTATGTGATGATCTTTAGTAATTGTATCGCATTACACTTTCCTGATTGTATTAGCAATGTGAATTCGGGCATAAATATTTTCAGGGATCATATAGAAGAATTATAATACCTATCATTGCTCAGGATTACTTTATAATTAACATTTTTTTGTCATGTATTTTTAGAATACTATTTTTCATGGCCTTTAAAGGTCTTTAAGTGCCAAAAGCGCGTTTTCTTCTTTATCTTTTACGTGCGCGCACGGGCACATGCTCACACACACTCCCACTCTCTTTCTCTTGCTCTTTGGGTGTTAAGGAAGGAATTTATTTTAAGTATAATACTTAAATATTAGAATAATGCCATTTATAGATCAAAGTAGCATGTGGATGTAGATGTACTGAGTTAGGCACAATTTGGCAGTTAGTTGTACACTTAAGATTTATTACTACTATGAAATTGCCAGACCTATTACAATACTTACTTTGTATTCTTTATATAGACAAGTGCATGTGCAAATTAAAGTATCTGGAAATAAATAATTTTTGAAGACACTTTATGAGGAAGCTAGACTTTTCATATGTATTTGTAAAACAAAATGCTTTCCTCTACACTGAAAAAAGGGAATGTTTTTGTAAAATATTCTTTTCCCTTGAATTTTATTTATATCCAGGAATTAAATTAAATATCAAAACAAATCCAGATTAAGTTTGGTTGTTTGTGGTTGGTTTTTTGTTTTTTGTTTTTTGGGTTTTTTTTGGTTTGGTTGTTTGGGGTTTTTGTTTTTTTTTCTCCATTAAAAAAAAAAAACAACACAAAACCAAACCTTCAAAAATAATTAGGAAATACCTAGTGACTGGTACCAAAATAGTTTTTAAACTCGGGCCATTGACAGCATTGTATCAAACCCATCTCCGTATTGGCAATGCATTTGAACTGTTTTATGGCAACATAAACTGAAAAACAACTCATAACTTTAAGTAGTAAAGCAGTATTTATTGGCTGATCAAGCTCAAAGTAAGTAAAGAATGTTTTAGTGAACTCTGTAGATTAAGAAGGGACTTCAGGATCGTATGGCTTGGTGATAGCTGAAATTATTTTCTTCAAAGTGATTTTTGGAGGCCTTTAGTAGCTGCACAGTACAAGGCAAATAAACTATTAGTTGAGGATTCTAACTTGTAGTTACTGGTATAAAATCATAAACTGAGATTTCAGAGTATATTTTTTATTGGTATAAAATCACAGAGATTTTGGAGTACTCAGTGATACTGCTTCCCTAATGATGCTGTTTAGATAAAGAGGAGATATTCTTTTTTCTTAAGTTGCAGTGCTTGTTGGAGTTGTTTTGTTGCTGAGGACTAGCACTTAAAGGAATATAAAATTGCTTCAGGTGTATTAGTTCATTATCTTGTGGTGGCTTGCTGGAAATGGTCGCTGTGAAAGTAAAAGAAGCAGAATTACCTTATTATTGGTTTATTTCACAGTGAGGATTTCTGTAAGCATGTTGAAAATGAACATAGTGCATAAAGATCACGTGTGTGTTAATTGAGGAAGGAAGGATTAAAATCTGTTCATTAGATTGGTGAATTCCAGGTTTTAAATTTAGAATTAGTTTTAGTCTGTAACTTGAAATATAGCTGCTGATAGAAACATTCAGATGAATGCCTTCAGGAATTATGCACGTGAGCTCGAGCATTTACATTTTGAAAGTGTTTGGTGTGGGACTGCCAAGATTCTCATACAAAATGTTTGGTGCATGGAATGAAAAATTAAAAGCATAATCTTTCTCCCTCACCCACATCTTCCAAATGGATTTTTGTCCTCCAAAAGGATATTTAAGGTGTTGCTGAGAAATGAACAGTAGATTCTTAACCTCCCACCTATCTTGACTAAAAATATGGATTTTACCAAAAAATACTAACTCAGAGAAAGAGGGAAGCATGAGGGAAAGGTGCATATGTTCTAGGCCTGTGAGTAATACACAGTGCTCAACAGAGAGCAGCATCTTACACAAATAGGTGGGTTACGATGTGATAGTTACTTTCAGAAATAATAAATGGGATGCATGGCCTCCTTATTCAGGTTAAACTTTTTGAAAGTAATAGGAATTTTGCCTGGATGATGCATGGGTCAGGTTAAGGGAGATTTTATTGTGGGTAAAGGAGAGGGGAAAAAAAGAGGAGGTGAAGAGAAGAAAGGGAAAGGGGATGGAGCAGGAGTTACCACTTTCAGATGTGGGTGCAGTCTGGAGTTCTCATCTTCACTGAATATAGAAGGTAATTTAAGACTGTGAGGCTGGATTATATTTTGTATGTCTGTATTAGTACAGCGCTGCCTTCTTGTATGTGCAAAGTATTCATAAACATTTTGTAACAGGTAAAGAGAAAGGAGGAGTGGAAGGAATGCCTTGTTT